TCTTCTTCTTCTTCTTCTTCTTCTTCTTCTTCTTCTTCTTCTTCTTCCCCCCGCCCCCCTCCTGGGGTGAGATTCAATTAGACAATTTCAAAATGATTTTTTAGAAGCCTTATTGTCATTAATTTCTAATCTTAAAAACTTCAAGCAGTCTTCTTCAATAGAGTCTTAGAATAAGTTTTTTACCTCTTCCTTCCCACTTATAGCAATAAGCTTTGATTTTTAGTTCCAATATTCCAAAATCTTTTATCCCCTTGGCTTTAATTTTTAGGTTTATTTACCTTCTTTGCCCAAGCAGGATTTCCAGATTTCCGTCTGCTATTCCGTAGGGAAGGAGAGTGAGAAGAAATAACTTTCCCTTTCACAGCTTTCTCGCCGCTTGCACAGTCTTTCTGGGAAACAATGTAGCAATAAAAAAGGCAAATTTCCAGGTTTTAAAAGCTCCTCTTTGCCCGATTCAGCCAGAAAAAAAAACTTTCACCTTCTTCCTCCTGCACGATCTTATTCAGCTGCAGGCTTCTTTGTGGAGACCATTGTGATTTTGAGAATTGATTGAAATGTATTAATAAAAAGAAAACAAATCAGTTTTCTCTAGTCTGCATTCATTTAAAAAATCATAGGTTTAGAAGGGATCTTGAAGATTCAGAGTAGATATCCACAGGCAAATGACCGTCCAATCTTTGCTTGAAAGCCTCCAGAGATGAAGCCTCAGAAATGTAAGAATTAGATGGTTCTTTTCCTTACTCTGTCATGAAATTCTTATTTATTTATTAAATTTTTATGCTGCCCATCTCCCCTACAAGGTGGCTCTGGGCAGCTTACAAATTGTAAAACAAGTAAAAATAATTAAAATATTGAAACATTAAAAATATACATAATAAAATAGTATATGCGGCTTACCAGCTCAAGATCAAGTCAGCCTTCTATCCTGACTCAATAAAATGATGACCCAGATTATTGGGGAAAATATGCTGACTCTATATACTGCTTAGAGAGAACTGTAAAGCACTATGAAGTGGTATATAAGTCTGTCAGAGTATATTCATTAACTGGCAGAGACATGGTTAACAAAGTAAGCCTGGCAACAGACCAGCCAATGGGAGCTGATAACCTGGGTATGGTTTGGCTCTATGTGCTTTGCTGAGAATTGAAACTGAAACTAACTTGCTTGCTTACTAAAAACTGATATCTGCTCTGAGCTGCTGCTGCTTGTGTTTTTGCTTATGTCACGTTGAAAGAATCTACAAATGGTATTGTAAACTTAACTCATATTAATATGTTTATAAAGAAGTTAATGATCCTGCTGAATTAGTCATTTGTGTGTTTTCTGGATGTGAATTTATGCTGCAAACTCTAACAAAGTCTATGTGCTATTATTACTTGCTATTGCTATTAAGCCACTGGTTTAAATAATCTGTTAACATGAATTGAGGTATCTGCAGTACGCTGATGATAACCAACTCTGTATTTCTACCTCATGACCAAAGCAATGCTGTTATTGCTCTCCCATGGTGCCTGGAGAGTGTGGGGGGATCTGGATGGGGAACAACAGGCTTCAACTGAACCCTGGCAAGACCAAATGGCTTTCGTTGCATGGCACCTCGAGATCCATACAGAAAGAGGACTTTGTCATCTTTAATTCTGGATGGGGTTACACTACCCAGACAGATCCAGTCCACAATTTGGGAGTTCTCCTGGACTTGTGACTCCTGCTCAAAGAACAGGTGACAGTCACCACTAGGAGATCCTTTGTGCAACTTTGGGTTGTGCACCAGTTGTGGTTTCCTGGATCAGGAGTCCCTGCACTCAGCCATTCAGGCCTTAGTCATATCAGGACTGTATAACTGCAATGCCCTCTACATGGGACTATTGTTGAGGTAATTCCCCATTAGGAGAATGAGCGCATACAGGGAGACATAGTGAGAGTAATGTTGAATAATACACACACAGCACACAGATACACTGTACAGTAATTGTAGGTTTTTACTTCCAATAAATGTTTAAGCACAGTCCAAGATAAGCAGTCCAAGTCATTCACAGGTAAAGCAGTCAGTGTTCAGTTCAGGGATAATCCAAATATCAAAGTCCAGTATCAAAAACAGTTCAGTAACAGACTTACATCAATGATCAGTAACAGTCATTAGGAGGAATGGCAAAACTCTCTAACAGAAAGGAATAGAAACTCACTGAGACTCTCTTCTGAGACTAAACAACCCAGTTTCTGGCTCCATCTTAGGGCCGTTTGAGAAACCACACCCAATTACAGTTTTAGCATACTCTTAAAGACATAGTATTAAAATGTCTATCCTAGTTTATATATTTCCAACCCAAATAACTGTTCGGTGACTTACATTCCTAACAGCTATTCTTGAAGAGCATTTGAAAACTACTGTTGGTGCAGAGTGCAGGCTCCCAAGAATGACCCATGTAACACCACTGCTCCATGAGCTGCATTTGGCTGCCTGTCTGCTTCCAAGTGCAATTCATTGTGGTGATAATCACCTTTAAATCCCTTCATGGTCCAGGTTACTTGAGGGACTGATTCAGCCTACTGGAATTGACCTGCCTCACCTGTAACCAGCAGAGGAGGCATACTACAGGCCCCTGTCAGCCTGATTATTCTATTTGGCAGGATCCAGGAGAAGGGCTTCTCTGCCATTGCACCTGTCCTGTGGAACATCTTGTCCCACAGTGTGAGATCGGCCACAACCTTCCTGATCTTCTTTAAGGCCTAAGGGCCCGGCACTGCCAGTTAGCTTGGGACTCCAATAGGGGACTTCATAGTTGAGGTGATTGATCAATTAATAACAGATTCCAATTCCCCTATCCATCCTGCTTCCACCCTCTCCATCTTTTAATTGGGCGGTAGTGTTTGGATTTTGTAGTAACTTTTTCCCCCCTATTTTATTTTATTTATTTATTTTTAGTTGTCAATTACTTACAAGATAATAGGTATAAGTAAAAACATAGTTATGAATACATGGATACATATAAGACACATATATACATGGATACATATATATGTTATTCAGCTTTGTTCGGGTGTTTTCCCACGTCATTATAGTTGTGCTTTTAAAGTTGTAGCAATGTTTCGGCAGAATCTCATCTGCCATCATCAGGCTTCTGTATTGTGTTCGTCTGTGAGTCAGACTTTTACAGTTGTTTCAGTTTTAAATTTGGGGTTAGCCTCCTGCTGTGCCAGAATGGTTTTTTCTTCATCTTGATTGGTTGGGAGTCTTGGTCTGTGTTTATTGGTCTTGGAGTTTGCTGTGTTCTGCTTGATTGGTGTTTCTAATACCTTCTGTCTGTTTTGTGGCTTTTTTTGTGTCTTAATTGGCTGGCAACATTGTGTTCCTGTATTGGAGGCTTTTAGTGCAGCTTGGCTCCGAGTAAATGGATGGCTATCATTTGTTAGGAAGCAAGGTTTCATCTGGGTGCCTGGTTGGGGTGTGTTTGAGCTGGAGGTATCAGGGGAGATCTGTTTGTGCCCAGGTGTTTGCCTGGCTTGTGGTGTGGAGATTTTTTTGTTTGTGAGTGCAGGCTTCCAAATGATTGACAGTCAATGATTGACTCACAAACAAACACATCTCTATTTGTTGTCTGTTTGACAGGAATGCTTCTATCCAGTTATGCAGGTGTCCAAAGATACTGTCAGATTTTAGTTTTAGGAGTAGTTTGTCGTGTACCACTGAATCAAGGCTTTACAGAAGTCTATTGTAGATTGTGTCTATTGCTTTGCCCTGATCGAGTTGTGTAGTCCATATGTTTTTGCAGTGTAAGAGTTGCAGATTACATGATAGTTTTTTCCTAAAACCAAATTGTTTATTATTGTTTGTTTCTAAGTGGAGGATGATGGATTGGTTAATAATTGATTCCATGACTTTACAGGTGACGCAGCATAAAGAGATTGGTGTGTAATTTTCAACTAGGTTGGGGTCTCCCTTTTTGAAGAGGGGGATGACCATGGCTTGTGACCATAGTTTTGGCAAGGAGCTGGTCCTGAAAGATTTTTCAAAGATTATGCTTAGAGGTTCGGCTATGGCAGTGGGTAGTTTTTTTTAAGAAGTAGGCACATACTCTGTCCGGTCCAATAGATAGAGATGGTTTTAGATTGCACAGTGCTTTTTCAACAATGTCTTCTGTAAAATTGATATGTATTAGATCATTGCAGCTGTTTGTGGTTTTTTTAGTTTATACAGTTTTTTATGATTGTAAGCCACCCAGTTACCCTAAGGTAAAATGCAGAGTTTATAAATTTAATAAACAAATAAAAAATATACTAAAACTAAATCCTTATTTTGAGTTTGGAATTCCCTCTGCTTCCACTAACTGGTTTTTTTTTCCTACCCATGCAAAAATAAGTCCACTCACTCTTCCCTTTGAAAACTCTTCAACTATTGGAAATTTGCTATCATATCTCCCCCTAGTCTTTTCTAACCTAAGGTACCCAGTTCTTCATAGGATTGTCTCCTTTTGATACTTTTTTTCTGCACTCCTCCCAATTCAGCATCCTTCTTGTATTGTGGTGAGCAGAATCAAGAGATGGGAGGCATATAAATTTAATAAATACAATAAATTTATTTTAAGCCTCATGCATTCTTCAGCTCAGCCCTTTTTTTACTTGACCAATCTTGTATTCAATTCACCCATTCATGTTTGACCCTTTATCTCAGACTGATAGGATTTATTCAACACAGCAACACAGCAATTAAATTAAAACGAGGTTATAGAGCTTTGCTTAATCTTTAACCAGCAAATCAAATAGTTTCGGAGTCAGTAAGGAAATTTCTATACGAAAGTACGCTTCATACATTCCTTCAATGTATTTCGGGGAAACCACGCGCTTTTACATAAAAGAAAGGCGCGGTTCGAAGGGATGTGGCATCTTTAGCATGCACTATTTATTCATTTGGAAGGCTGGCAAACTACATTTCCCAAGAATCTTTGCGCGAAATGTGTGCCGCTATTGTCACGGCCATCTTGAAATCTGAACTGCTATCCAAAAAGATTTGGGGGTTGCTGCGTCTTTCCCAGTCTTGCGGTAGCCTGAGCAAAAGACTTAGTAGCTTCTTGGAAGGAGGTGATACTGAAGTCAGCTGGTAGTGAAGTAAGTCAGCTATCCGATTCGGGCGGAGAAAAATTGAACGGAGGCGAATTTTTCAGCTACGCAGATCTGTGGGGAAGGGTTGGGTTTTTTTTGGCTCCTCCCATCTGAGTTAGTGATGTTTCGGTCAGCTAAAACCAACCCTGCTGGGAAATAGCAACCGAGAGAGACAGAAGAGAAGGGTGGCCCCTGAAGGAGGACGCTGGCGAAATGAGGGAATCGTGTCGAATTTGTGGTCGGGAACTTTGTGGCAATCAGAGGCGCTGGATCTTCCACACCGCAACTAAATTGAATTTCCAGGTTTTGCTCTCGCATGTTCTAGGCAAGGAAATCTCACGTGATGGCAAAAACGAGTTTATCTGTAGCAAGTGTGCCTTTATGTTGGAGCGCATATATCGCTTTGATACTGTTATTGCGCGCATCGAGGCGCTGTCAATTGAACGATTGCAGAAACTAATGCTAGAAAAGGACCGCCTCAAGCTGTGTATCGCCGAAACATACAGGAAGAATAATGACGAACCCACCGACGAGACGACGGATGTATCCAGCCTGCCGGATCTGCGCTACTCGACTCTCCTCCAGGAAGACTTCGCTTATTCAGGGTTTGAATGCTGGACAGAGCCGGATGAACGCGTTGGAGACCCACAAGCGTGCCACGGTGCAGAAAGCCGTCCTAGGCGGTGTCGGGGTTGCGCTGTGCTGCGTGTTGCTGATGCTGATTATGAGGCAATTTGCAAAATCCCACGAAAAGTGGCAAGAAATCTCTCCAGGTGTTCTGCCAACGTTTGTAGTGAAGAGTTACTTATATGTGAGCCAGTAATTACTGACTTGCTAAACGTCAAGGCGCCTTTGAATGAAGAAAGAGTGGAAGGAGAAACTTCCGAATTGTCCCTTGAATCGTTGGATGCAACCGCGATCGCTGATGCATTACATCCAAAAGAGGAGGAAACGGGCACAGAGTCAAAGAGAAACCCGACGTGTAACTGTATAAGTGATTGTGGAATACAAAGCTTGTCACTTCAAGGCAGCAGGTTAGAGGTAGCCCTTAATTTGGTGAAAGCTTTTGACTGCAAGCCAGTCCAGAGTCCCAGAGGGAGTAAGTTACCTATTCCTGTAAAATCAAGTTCTCATTGCCAGAACTTCGATAAAAACTCTTCTTCTGGCTTCCCAGATGTGGTGCTGAAATCTCAACCTGGCTTTGCCTTAGCTTTTGCCTTGGAGATGTCCGATCTGCAGGAATTGTGGGAAGATTTATGTATGGATTATGTTCCACTTCGAACTAAGGTAGAAGATTGTTTCTTCCAATATTGCCTTTCAGATTCTCGAATATTATCATCCTATACTTTTGATTCACTTTTGGCTTGAGATGCAATATTTTTGTAACCCACCTGTAATTTACTGGTTGCTTTTTTCATCCACTATAGTTTACCACTTACTTTCTTCACCCATTATTGTTGGATTCTGAAAATTGCATTTTCATTTTCTGCTTTTTTTTGCTTGAAGTTCTTTTCTTTTAGCTTTCAGTTACATTGCTTTGCAAAGGATTAAAATGAATGTTATTTTCTGTCTTACATGTGAAATAAGAGTTATCTTTTTAAAAGGACTTGTAGAATTGAGTTCATTAGTCCAGATTTGTGCTAGCTATGACTTGATTAAGATATATAAAAATTTGCATGTTTTCTATGGTTTTTTTTTAAGGGAATTGCTATTGTCGTAAAAATATATCACTTCAGATTGTCCTCATTGGCATGCTAGATATCATGTGCAAGGAGACTGTATTATGAATTTCATTGACTTTATTAACAAAATTTTATAAATTTTACTGATATATCATATAGTTATACTTAACAAATAGTACCTGTAACAACATTTTTAAAAGATTATTTTTATCCTGCCTATTATTTCTATAAAGAATTCAAAGTAGTGAACATACATAATATTCTTTCCTCCTCCTACTTTCTCTTCAAGAGCAACCACTCTATGAAGCAAGTTGGACTGAGAGAGAATGGCCAAAAGACACCCAGCCAGCTTTCATGTCTATGATGAGATTAGAACTCACTGTTTCTAGTTACTAACCTGATGTCTTAACCGCTAGATCAAATTGGCTTTATACGAGGGCTATCCACAAAATAGATTACGTTTTCGTTTGTAGCAAGAAGTGGCGGAGCTAGCGTGGCCATCTTTGGTCTGTGCGTCTGCTCAGTCTGCATCTAGTCGTGCTAGTGGGAGGTTCGTATCGTTGCCCATTATTTCACAGCAAACGTTTGAAATGTGTGCTGCAATTGAAAATCCCACGAGTTGTGAGGTGTGATCAGTGATAAGGTTTTTGTTGGTAAAAAACCATAAACCGATTGAAATTTTTCGGCAACTGTGTGAAGTGTACGGGGATTTTTCCTCATCCTCCCTACAGCCCCGATCCTGCACCAAGCGACTACCACTTGTTTCCAAGGATGAAGACCTGGCTTGGAACACAGCGCTTTGACGACAACGCGGAACTGCGGGTGTGCGTGACTGACTGGCTCAAATCTCAGGCGGCTGAATTTTATGACAATGGAATTACAAAGCTTGTTCACCGCTATGATAGGTGCCTCAATTTGTTCGGTGAGGAAAAATCTCCCACTTGAAAGCATTCAGGACTTCTCGAGTGCTGTAGTTCGGCCATTTTTAAACTTAATGCACCATTGGCGCACTCCACCTTCAGTGATGATATTGTCCCCGTACACTTCACACAGTTGCTGAAAAATTTCAATCGGTTTATGGTTTTTTTGCCAACAAAAACCTTATCACTGATCGCACCTCACAACTCGCGGGATTTTCAATTGCAGCACACATTTCAAACGTTTGCTGTGAAATAACGGGCAACGATACGAACCTCCCACTAGCACGACTAGATGCAGACTGAGCGGCAGACACACAGACCAAAGATGACCGTGCTAGCTCCGCCCCTTCTTGCTACAGACGAAAACGTAATCTATTTTGTGGATAGCCCTTGTATTTATATATTTATCATATCTATTTTTATATAACAATAAATGCTAATTTATATGCAATAGCACTTATAGGGCTTTACAGCACTCTCTGAGCAGTTTGCAGTGTCAGCATATTGTCCCCAACATTCTGGGACCCCATTTTCCAACCTTTGGAAGAGTGGAAGGCAGAGTCAGCCTTGGGCCTCCAGACTGTGGGCAGAGTTAGCGTGCAATACTAAGCAGTATGCCACCAGGGCTCATTACTTTAGAACGTAGAAGAATGCCTGTAACTACAGTATAGTAACTGATTTTCAAATGACAGTTGTACTTTCTTTCAGCAATTTTGTTTTCTCCTAGTTTTTTCACATTACAAAATCAGTTAAATTAAGTTGAATCTCTGGTGGAAATCCAGAGATATAGCATCACACACAGAATTGAGCTTTTTTGAAGATTATCTTCTTGCAACATCTCTAGGAATTGATTCTATTAAAATCATGAATTAATTCTGGAATTTGTGAAAGAGAAGCTGCTTTCCATAGTTTTAATGTATGCACAATCTTAAGCATGCATACAGAAATCCTACTGAACTCAATAAGTAAGATTAAGTTGTGCTTAAAATCATAAAAAGTTAAAAAGATCTACTGGACTTAAACTAGTACTTTTTATCTAGATAGATATCTAATCTAGGGTAAGATTAAATTGATTATAAATATGGAAAAATGGGCTCAGACATAGGTTAAAAAAATTGTCAAAAAGATAGATTAGATAGGCAGGTAGGCAGTCTAGTCTTACGACCATATCAAAGAATATAAAAGTAAAATAAAAGATCTAGTTCCAGGATAAAACAGGTTAAAGAAAATACAATGTATTAAATACAAAGAATCAACAATCAAATAAATACATCACTTTTATGTGATAGCCTGATCTGTTCAATATAACACTTAGCTGAACTGCCTCATCTATAAGCTTAGCAACTATGCTAATAGTGTAGCTAAAATGTTAGAAGGCAAGCTGCACTCCATTAAAAAAACTAATTTCTTAGTTTTCTTTCTTATAGAGATATATTGCAGATAACTTAGTGAAAGATGTCTCTGTCTAGGGGTGTGTATACTTTATATTTTGAAATTATTTGCAAAAACTGCCTTCAAACTTGGGTAATTGCAGCACCTTCTCTGCTATTTACTAAAAAAGCTGAATGTTTCAGATTCATGAGCCAGAAAAAAAGATAATGATGTTTTAAATAATCCTCTCAAGTTCAGCAGCTTAAAAAAATATTATTTATTTGTTTGTTTGTTTGTCAAACATGTACAAGATAACGAGTATAGGTATGAACATAAACATGAACAAAGGAAGTAAATGCAGATAAATGGGGACGGTGAGATAGGGATGGTAGGCATGCTGGTGCGCTTATGCATGCCTTCTAAAATACAGAGCTTTGTTAATAAATAAATGCTACACTTTGCCTCTTCCAAGTAGTTTTAGTGAAATGATATAAGAACAAAAGGTAAAGAATATCTTAGCAACTACTATTTTTCTTATTCTCTTTCTCTCTTCAGAATATGTTTGAGGCTAATCAGCAGCTAACTTACTGTGACATGTCATTCAGCGAAGAGGAAATTGTATTGAATGATACAGAACATATGGAAAAAACCAGCTCTTTAAATGCTATAAATAAGGTATTTATTTAATTTCAAAAATGTTCAAAATTATCTTGGGAACAAGATAATTTATGTAATAAATGTAATATCTTCAGTCAGTGTGCTAGCTAGAATACACCTTAATGTAGTTTTGGCATTCAAGGTTGGAAACAATTAAGCAAATACATTACAGGGCAGGAAGATCTTAACAAACTGAAATATTGTGCAAAATCTAGCCCTATGAAATTTAATAGGATCAAATCAAAGAGATAAGTACAGGATGGTGGGCATAACAGTGCATGAAAAGAAAAATTGCAGGTGTCTTGCAGCCAAATGAGCCAACACTGTCAGATCCGTGTATCTGTCATTTCTTCAGTGGAAGAAGAAAAGTGGGGGGGAGGCTGATAAAGAAATCCTTTCTTGATGTAACCTGAATATATTTAATCTTATATCGAATTTGTATAACCCACACATCATAAGATGGAGGGAGAAAAGCCAGATGGCCAGAACTATCACCTCTGAGAGGCACAACCAGGAGATGAGAAGGTCATAAAAATTCAGTGAGATTGTACTTTGGGAATCTCTTGAATAGTTCGTTCTAAAATGGGGGTGTGGGGGAAATTAGGTATGCCCTGGGAAACTGAAAAGATAGTTCCTTACACAACACATAATGCAGCAAGGCAGGGAAAGTGTAGCCATATAGTCTGACATTCTTCCCAATCCCTTGACTGGTAGCACCCATTGGATGTGTCTATATTTTTTTCTGTATAAAGAAATATTGTGTGTTTCTGTACTTCCTGCTTATATGTCTGCACCTGGCAGCACAGGGCAAAGCTATGTATACTCTGCTAAGGGTCAAATGTCTAGGATAAAGAATAGGTGAAAATAGAACAGTTGGCAGCTTTTGAAGAAATAACTTATAGGAATTCAGAGGAGGATTTTTTAAAAAATTCAATTTCTATTCAGCCCATTTTCATATTCACTTTTTCGTTTCAAAACTTCTCTGACTGCAGCATATCAGATTTTCTGCTAGGTTTTTGGAGAGCTAGGCTACTGATGGATAGAAGAGCAGGCAGGAGCTAAAGCTATATCTATAATTTTTCCCAACATTTTGTTAGGTTGGCAAAGCATAAAAAAATCAAATGCAATCCTAGGTAGCATAAATAGTGTAGGGTCAAGATTAGGAGAAGTCACTATTCTTCTCTATTCTGGATCTTTTAGTGCAGCCAGTTCTGAGCATGACATTTTAGGAAGGACAGTGACAAACAGGAGGAACAATCCAGAGAGTAAGAGGCCTGGAAAGAAAAATATAGGAGCAAGGGTTGTCAGAGTTGGATATGTTTAGTTGAAGAATAGAAAACTTGTAGGGAGACAAGAATCTGAAGGTCTGTCATACAAAATATGGATTTTCAAACTCTTTCCAACCATGGGATCTTTTAGATTTTTTTAAAAAAATCCTGAATCCCACTCAGTAGGCAAAGCTCTACTGATAGAAAATTGGTTGTGTTCAAGTAAAATTTTATTTTACACAAATTTTAATGGCATCACATCCAATTTGAAAAACCCTAATCTAGAAGATGGGATAGAACTGTTCAATTGTTTTTTGGAAACAGGTAAGAAACTGTAGGTTTAAATTACAAGAAATTGATTTTAATTAAACATGAGGAAAAAATTCCTACTGGAGGTGCTGAAACAAAGGCTGGATGGCTATTTTGGGATGCTATAGCAGTGGCTTTCAGCACTGAGCAATGTTCAAATATATTATCTTCAAGATCCAATTCATACATTCATTTAGCAGTAATACTAAAATAATACAGAAATAATTTTGACTTAATCCATATTGTAATATTTTGTGCCTGCTAAAAAGGCACTTTGGTAATGCTTTAAATAAATGTGATTTAAAATTATTTGACAGTCAGCTGTAGAGTAATCCATTATTTGACAGTCAGCTGTAGAGTAATCCAGGGTTTCTGGTTAAAATTTAGCTATTTGAAGTTTTTACTTAAATGTCAACAGTCCAACTAGCAAACCCAAGAAAAGTAGACACCCTCAGAACTTTGTAATTCTAAAACTAAAACTTTATTGGAGTATTTTGACACTGAAGAAATAAAACCAGCTCTGAAGTTTTGCATATATGTATAATCTTCAGAAAGCAATAGCTTCCTGGTGAAGCATTTACATGCTTTATTGTATCTAGTTATATTAATGATACTTCAGAGTTGCAAGACAATTTACTGCTAGTTTTCCTTTTCTTAAATATAAGAAATAAATATAAAAATTAAATTAGTGATATAAATTTATTTATGGTATTCAGCAGCTCCAAGACAAAATGAATGAAATGGATTTTGAACGGAAATCTCTCCAGCATGCATCCAAGAAACAGGATCACATAATCCAGAAATTGAAAGAGATGTTAAAGAGCAAGGAAAATGAGGTTTGTAATTCTTTGAAGAATAGATCTAATGACTGAAATATAATTAAAATAGAGCTGGAAGGAATCTTGGACGTCTTCTAGTCCAACCCCCTGCTCAAGCAGGAGACCCTATATCATTTCAGACAGTTGGCTGTCCAGTCTTTTCTTAAAAACCTCCAGTGATAAAGCACCCACATTGTCTGATGGCAAGCTATTCCACTGGTTAATTGTTCTAACTGTTAGGAAGTTTCTCAATTCCAGGTTGCTTCTCTGCTTGATAAGATTCCATCCATTGTTTCTTGTCCACTTTCCCTCCTCCTTCCCTTGTGCCGGCCGCTGTGTTGCCTGTTTCTCCACTGTAGCACAGCACCCAGGGTCCACTTTGATAGCGTGTGTGTATGTGTAGTAATTTACCTGGCCAAATAATCCCGTAGTCTCTCCTACATTGGGCCCAGCTTCGATCATGCTGCCAACTTAATTCCTCGTCCCTTTCACTTTTGCCTGCTGACAACACCCCGTTGACAACACAGCTCAACGTGGAGGGAGGAATCCTTCCACTTCCCTGCAATTCTTCACCTTCCCACATGAGCTCTTGGGAGCATCAACTCCTTGCCTCTATGGTAACCCCATTTCCTTGTTCCTCGGAAACCTCGCCTCTTAAAGGAGCTGCATCCAGAAGGCTGAAACAGCTGTGAAACCAACATGCAAACAAGCACCCTTTGGAAATTTAACAACCGGTTTGCCCAAGGTCAGATTGGCCATTGCAGAAGGCTTGTTCCCCATGTGCAGGGGAGCTGGAGGACAGGGGGTGGCCACACTTCCCACGACAGCTAACCTGACCCTGGGCAAACCAGTTGTTAAATTATTTGAATCCCACCACTGAAGGGCCTATTGTTCAAATATGTCAAATCTTTTTGGACCTTGAGCCGATCATCTAGAGCAGGGGTGTCAAACTGGCGGCCCATGGGCCGGATGCATCACATGCAGGCCATGCCCATCCTACCTCCGCAAATGGGAAAAACATTGCAAAACGTTACATGATGGCAATGTGACACCACCAGTTTGACACCTGTGATTTACAGTGTTGGCTATTCTTGCCAGCTTTGTGTCATCTACACATTTTATGAGTTCCCCTTCTATTCCCTCATCTAAGTCATTAATGACAGGGGTTGCCAACCTTTTGGACTTCAGGGACCACCAAACTCATAATTTTAAATCCCGCGGAACACTAATATGAATTTTGACTCACTGCGGCTTGCTGACGTTTTCCCAGGGTCTCTGCAGAAAGCAGCAGAGACTCTGGGAAAATCCCAAAAAACGCCTGCAAGAAAATTCCCCACCCCATTTTCCTACTGATCAATCATTCTTTATTTGGCATTGCAGGATATTGTCTCCAGCTCTGTTCTCAGGGGGAAAGAGAGAGAGAAATAGAAACTTTTGGCTTCATGCAAGGAAAGCAGCAGAAGCAGCAGAAGTCTTTCTTTCTCTCTCCCAAACTCTGCCAGAAATGAGTCTTTGTGAGACTTGTGCCAGCACAACCTCTTGGGGCAGGATGCCTTCTGGCAGAGTTTGGGGGAGAGAAAGAAAGACTTTTGCTGCTTTCCTTGCGTGCAGCCAAAAGCAGCAGAAGAAAGAAGTGGAAAGAAGCAGCCTGGTGGCCAGGCGAGGTGCGTGGGGTGAGTGGGGCAAGTTCTCCCCCTCCGCCCTTTCCCCCTTCCCCTCACTACCTCGTGTTGTTTGCAATGCAAGCAACACAAGCCTTGTGTTCCCGTGGCCCATGTGGGCAGTGCAGCCTTGTGTTCCCACATAGCCTGGATTAATTGCTTTGGGGGGTGTTTTGGGGGTGACATTTCTCTGCGGACCACCAAAATTTTCTTCTTTTTTTAAAATTTTTTAATTGATTTTTAAAAACAAACATAAACAAACAAAACATAAAACATGAAAACATGAAAACATGAAAACATAAAACATCTTTTTTGAAAGCAGCCTGATCCCGGTTACATCTTTTCGTGCAGACACAAATTCAAATTCATCCTCATTTTTATATTCCATTCCATATCTTATTACCATTCTACATTTTCCATATAACTTCTCCCCTCTTTCAACTTTCTTAATTTTATTTTATTTATTACATCTCAATTCAAATAATCATACTTACATTCTTTGTCCTGTTTCAGCTGTCTATTATCTTTTCTCATTAAGCAAAATTTCTCCTGTGGTCACTAATTGGAGTATGACGCCTTTATATCTTTTCCCTAAAATTATAACAGTTAATATAATACATAACTTCCGTTCGGATTCTGCTTGGTACATTCTAAAACTACATAATGTATTTTTAAAAAGAAAAAATTATAAATATATAACATAATTAAAACAATCCATACCAATTCAATTCTATCATTAATATTAATATTCATTTAAATCTTAAACATTTTACACATTACTTTTCAAATAAGTATCATACTTCTATGGAAACACTTATAAACTTTCCATAATTACTTCCCTCCCACTTCACTTATATTTTATAAAATGTTGAGTAGTTAAAATGTTCCCATTCCTTCCTAGTTCAATTCTCTCATTTTTCATTTCATTTATTTTGTTCACAAAAGTTTCACTAAATTACACTAACTATTTTATTCCACTTTTAAATCATATGTTGTTTCCAATTTTCTAACATTATTTCTATTACCAATATAACAATACAATCTTATGTACCTTTACAGAATCCCTTTTCCAGTTAAATTTTCATCCATTATCTCTGAATAAATCCTGTTTCTTTACATCTTGCTCCAGACCTTTGTAACTTCTCTTCCCTTCTCTTCCCTTCCTTCTCCCCTTTCTTCTCTCTCCCCTTTTTACCCCCCTGTCTCTCCACCTCCATTTCCCTCTTCTGTATTGCTTTCCAACATTATATCCCCTTATTTTTCCCTTTTTTGGCTGTTTTTTTAGGTCTTGGATTCTCCATTCTCTTTCCCCCCTTTCCCTTTTCTTCCCCAGATAGAATTACTTGTTCATTAAAAATGGCTTCTTCTTTGTCCCAATCTTCTTGTTGCGCAGTCTTTTCTTGTTTCTTGTAAACACCAATCACCATTTCTAAGAATTGGAAAATGGAACCAAAGGAGCCCTTCCCTTTTTGTTCCTCTTCTTTATATTTTTTAAATTCGATTTTCAGTTCATCCAGAAAATTCAGTTCATCCAGAAGTGATGCCATTGTAGAAGGTTTTTTTTAAACAACCACCCAATTGTTTTTAGTCATTCAAATATGATTTCCAAAAGTCCCAAAGTCACCAAACAGTCCAAATACACACAAGCTGTTTCTTTTAACACTTTCTTCTTTTTTCACTTTCTCTTCTTGGGGTAATTATTTAGTTGAAAGTTCCAGTTAAAATGTATCCTTTAGAAGTCTTGTTAAGATTTAACTTTAAATTCTTTTGAATTCCAAGCAGTCTCCTCCTTCCGAGTCCTGCCCTTATTCTTTTCGTCTCCCTTCCCACTTATAGCAAAAGGATTTTTTTTGTGTTCAGAAATCTTTATTGTCCCTTTGGCATTTAATTATATTTCCAGTTTAATTACCTGTTGGTGCCAAAGCGGATTTTTCCGATTTCTTTATTCAGATCTTCTCGTTATCAGCATGAGGAAGGAGAGTGAAAAAAAAAAAAACCCTTTCCCTTTTCACTTTCGTTTGCTGCTTCCGAGTCTTCTTTGGGAGCGATGTATCTTTTGCAAAATTTAAATTCCAGGGTACCTTAGTTGTTACTTTTTGTCCCGGTCAGCCAAAAACTTTCACTTCTTAATTTCCTCCTGCACTTTCTTTTCCGGCTGGGTGCTTCTTTGAGGCGGCCATTTCTGACCGCCGCTCTTACCACCTTCAGGAAAGGGAGTTTAGCCAGCTGAGGAGGAGGCGCCTCACCTCGCCCTTGCTGGATCTCCCCCATCTTCACCACCTCTACGGGGTGGCTTAGCCCTGAAGCCAGCTGGCTTGGGGCGCTCCAGCGGCGAGCCCAGGCAGAAACCGTGCATGATTGCGGATTCCTGCCTGCCACCGAAGCCCTGCAAACCAGAAGACATCCGGACCACCAAAATTTTCTTGTGGACCACCAGTGGTCCCCAGCCCATTGATTGGCAACCGCTGATTTATGAAGATATTGAATGCTGGGCCTAAGATGGAATCTTGTGATACCCTACTGCTTACTTTCCTCTATGTAGATGTAGTATCATTAAGGACTACTTGTTGAGTATGGTTTGTCAGCCAGTTACAAATCCATCTGGTGGTGACGCTATCTATCCCACATTTTTCTAGCTTACCAAGAAGTAGCTTGTGGTCTACTTTGTTGAATGCCTTAGTGAAATCTAAGTATACTATGTCCACAGCATTTCACTGGTCAACTAATTTAGTCACTGTCAAAGAATGAAATAAGATTCATTTGGCATGATCTGTGCTGGCTTCTAATTATAACCTTATTTGTGTCTAGATAGTCACAGATCTATGATGTCAGATCCATGTATCTGCCATTGTTCAATGGAAGAAGAAGGGGGGGGGAGTTGGTACAAGTAATCCTTTTTGATGTAACCTGAATATATTAAATCTTATATTGAATCTATATAACCTACACATGATATACAACTGGAGGATTGGAGTCAGATGTCCAGAAATTTGTCACCTCTTGAAGAGATAGCAAGTGGTAAAGGGACCATAAAAATTCCAGCTCCGGAAGATACTCCCTGGGAACTCTTCAAAAGATACATTCTCAGAGAAGGGGAGGGGGGAATTAACATGTTGGTTCTTTGTTTGACAAAATATACATCTAAATAAGGGAAGGGGTCCTAACTCCCCTTATCTATTACTGCATGCCTGGGAGGATTTAGACTCTGCTTTGAATAGGGCTGGAATCACCTCATTTCAATAAAGGATTCTTTTTGAAACATCTAAGTCTTCAGAAGTTCATTCTTTTCGGTTCAAGGGGAAAAGTCCAGTTCCTGACACAATGGTTCTGAGATAATATCTGCCATCTCCTTCAGAATTCTGGGATGTAATCCATCTGGTCCTGGTGATTTATATTCATTAAGATCAGACAGATGTTCTCTTACCATTTTCTTGTTTATCTTAATTTTTATTTCTAGTCCATCTTTTGCAGTAATTTGTTCAGTAGGTTGAGCTATAGTTTATGCATGAAGACTGATGCAAAGAATGAGTTCAGCAGCTCTGCTTTCTTTCTCTAGTGCTGTAGTCATGAATAATAGATGCTTTTCTCAACTTTCAATATTATTTGTAAATAATAAGTCAAGAATTTGACTCAAATCACTTCCAAAAAATATGTAGTCAACTATCAAGATGTAGTGAAACTGAAAATACTCTTTTTGAATGTAGAATTGCTACTGGAATAGCTTACCCCCTGCATTGTGGGTGCTCCATTACTGCAGGTTTTCAAGAAATAGACTGGACAGTTATTTGACTGGGATAATACAAGGCTTCTGCTTTCTAATTTAACATTTTTATTGAGTTATAAAATATTGTAAAATACAGAAGTAAATAGAAAAGCGGGGGGGGGGGGAGTGAAGTGAGGAGAGATAAGAAAAGAAGCATTGACTTCCACTCTTTCCGTTACAGTAAAATAAGGCATTAACATAAAATGCCAACATTTTGCTTTTTCATATTAATATGAACAAGCCATTTGTGTAAAGATCTATCAATCTACTCGGTAAAACCCAAAATCAAAGTTTCATTCTTTTCCACATCAAGCACAAAGTTCAGAAGTGGTGTCCATGTGGAAACAAAAGTACTTATGTTCTCAAAGTAGTCAATTTTGCCATTTCAGACAATTCCATCAACTTCTGCAACCATTCGTCCATAGTATGGATTGAAGTGTCCTTCCATTTTTGTGTATACAATAGTAGAGATCTAGTTGATGATCCTTAAGTGTTTGGGTTTTTCTCTTGTTTCTGGTTTACTTTCTGATTTCAAATTGCTTGGTCCTGTTTTCTGTAGTGTGAAGAACTAAATCATGTAATTCATAACCAGAATGAGAAAATAGTCAAACTGCAAGACATGCTACAAAAGAACCAGCTTGGGCAATTACAGGTATGGCTTTTACTTGAATTTGTTTACAAATTAATGTTTTTTTGTTTATATCTCTCCAAAAGTTTTTTTTTGAATTTTGCAAGATGATTAACCCTAATAATGAATGCTAAAGATATAATGTATACAACAAATGTTTCCCATTAAATCCAAAATATGCCTGCTATAACATTTCCAGTATTAACACAGATGATACAGTAGTATATTATATGATGGAAAATCTTACTTTTTCCAAGGAAGAAGTTTAAATAATTGAGTACTTTGGAGTAATTCTTTACTTGCTTAAATCCATTAATTAAGAAGAGCAGGTAGAATAATACAATAGTGATCTGCTGTCTACAGTTGAAAGTCTGCAGTAAAAAGAAATTTATCAAATTTACTAGAAAGATAGATTTCTAGTTTAAAAATACTTCAGGACTTCAGAATGTTGAATTGTGTTTGAAAATGTATGAAGACAATTGCTAAGAAGATGTTGTAAGCCACCTGGAGTTACCTGTATGTGAGTTGGGAAACTAAAAAGTATAAACAAAAAACACAAACAAACAAACAGGCTTCCTAGTTTATGTCCTAATTTATCAATATAAGGCTTTGAGGCATTTGTGGGTTGCATCTTACGAGGATAGGGAGAAATATGTTTGGCTAGAGCCTTGAGGGCAAACCTATGGCTGAGTGCCAGAGGTGGCACACAGAGCCCTCTGTGGGCACGTGAACCGTCGCCTCAGCTCAGCTCTGCTACGCATGCGCATTCATGCCTCCCGCCAGCCAGCGGGTTTTTGGGTCTCTGCCACACACATGTGGGGGCGGGGGGCATGCGCAGGGGGGACGCATATTGCATTTTGGGGATATGCAGATGTGTGTTTTGGGCACTTGGTGCCAAAAAGGTTAGCCATCATTGGGTTAGAGCCTTAAAAACCTTAGAAGAATGGCTTTAAAGAAGGGGACAGGGGAAAGCTGCATATGATAATAGAGGAGTCAGGAAATATTAACTAATAAATCTGTGATAGACAGATGACTCAGCAATAACATCTGTAGGTTCCAATGTTTACACAATCAGAGGATGGATAACAAACAAAGAAATAGAATCCTAAAATGTAAAAGCAACAATGATTTCATAAATATTTAAAAAAATGCAGTGAGATGAGAATCATGATTAGAAAGTGGAAATCAGAGAATATTAATTATTCAAAGAAATAGACCCAATATTATCACAATACAGATTTCTCAACTTACAACTATTCATTTAACGACCACTTATGGAAAAAACTTCCTTATGACTGATCCTCACACATCATCATCATCATCGTCGTCGTCATTTAATAAATTTTATTAATTTTCTATTAATTACATTTCTTAATGCTTAATAAACATCATGTTGTCTGGATATTTAATTTGCTTAACAATACAGATTCCATCCTTACTCTCCACCCCTTTTTTCCAATCATTGGTAAAATAAGCTCCATGTTTGATACTATTCTGTGTCTTCTTTCTGTTTGATTTTCAATGTAAATCTTTCTATCCATTTCTGCACAGTCTAGTACAGGCATGTCAAACTGGATTTCATTGAGGGCTGCATCAGGGTTGTGTCTGACCTCAGGGGGCCAGGGTGGGTGTGGCCAGCTCAACATCACTTATGTTGGGGGCATCTGTGGTGGCCTGAGCGCTCTGTGAGCGAAAACGGGCTCCCAAGCTCCGTTTTTGGCTGAGATGGCCTCCTGCAACTCTCTGCCACGGCCTCTCCCAAGCTCCATTTTCTCTGGCAGAGGCACTGTGGGCTGTTCTTTCACTGTTTCCAGGACGGCCCTGCGAGCCAGATCTAAGCACCTCGCATGCCGCATCAAGCCCTTGGGATTTGAGTTTGACACCTGTGGTCTAGTATTTTCTTAATTATCTCTTCATTTTGCGGTGTTTCTTCATCTTTCCAATATTGTGCGAAAATAATCCTCACTGCTATTAAGACATGTAATAGTAAATACATACTTTTCTTATGAAATTTTTCTGATATCATCCCTAATAAAACAGTTCCCATTTAAAATCTGGATGTTTCCCTATTATCCTTTCTAGCCATCTGTGTATTTTTGCCCAAAATATTTTTGCTTTAGCATAAGTCCAGCACATATGATAAAATGTGCCCATCTTTTGATTACATTTCCAACATTTGCTAGACATACTTTTAAACATTTTAACTAACCTAACAGGTGGTAAATGCCATCTATAAAACATTTTATATAAGTTTTCTTTACAAGAAGTTGCTATTGTTAATCTATAGTTCCTTTCCCATAAATTTTGCCATATCTCTAATTCTATGTTATCGCCAAATTTTTCTCCCTTGTACCATTGTGTCTTTTATTTGTTCATCTTCCATTTTTAAATTTAGCAAGAAATTATATACCTTCTTAATTAATTTTTATCAGAGTTCAAAAGTGTCTTGTCAAAAGGTGTTTGTCCTTTATAAATGCCATACTTTTTTCATATCTATATCTTATCTAGATTGTATTTCAGGCCACCATGATAGTATAATGTCCTGTTCTTCAAGCTTTTGCTTCAATTTTAATTTCCTTTCAGTGTCCAAAATATCTTTATATGTCACCATTTTTTCAAACTTCACTAGATTTGGATATATAAAGGCTTCCATCGTTGAGAGCCATTCTGGAATTTTCAAGTATATTTTATTTTTTCCCATATCGATATTAGTGAGTTTCTTATATAGTGATTTTGAAAGTATCTATGGATTTTATTCTTCTCATACCATAGGAAGGCATGCCATCCTAATTGTAAATCATGTCCTTCTAAGTATAACAGTCTCTTGTGCCTAAGGGTTATCCATTCTTTTATCCATGTTATCACACATGCTTCATAATACTGTATAAAGATCAACCTGGTAGTCCAAACCCTCCATTTCTTTAGATTCTTGTAGCATTTTCAATTTTATTCTCACTTTTTTTCCTTGCCAAATAAATTTCAGTGTCAATTTGTTCAAATCATCAAATAATTTCTTTTCAATTTTTATAGGTATTGTTTGGAACATGAAAAGCAGTTTTGGTAGGATGTTCATTTTTATCATAGCAATCCTTCCTAACATTGATAAATGTAGGTTTTTTTCATTTTTCCAAATCTAATTTTATTTGCTTAAGTAGTTTTATATAATTGTCTTCTTTTATCGTTGCACATCTTGCTGTTAAGAATATTCTCAAATATTTAATTTTCTTAACTATTTAAAAGTCCACTTTTTCTGCCAGATTTTCTTTTTGCTTTCGTATAAGGTTTTTAACTATAACTTTAGTTTTTTCTCAATTTATTTTCAGTCCTGCTATCTCTCCAAACTGCTCTATATCTTTTAACAGTTTTGGAATTATCTCTAGTGGTTCTTCTACAATGAATACCAAATTATCTGCAAACGCTTGTAGTTTATTTCTTTCCTTTCTTATTTCGATTCCCAAATTTTGTCTGATATTCCTGTTCAAAACTTCCACAGTCAATATAAATAATAAAGGCGATAGCGGGCATCTGTGTCTTGTTCCTTTTTTTATATTAAAGTTCTCTGTATAGTCCCTGTTTACAATTACTTTAGTTGTTTGTGTTGAGGTAATTCCCCGTTAGGAGAATTAGCGCACCCAGAAAGACGTAGTAAGAGTGGTGAAGAATAACACACAAACAGCACACAGCTACACTGTATAGTAAAATGTACGTTTTTACTTCCAGTAAATGGTTAAGCAAAGTTCAACAAAAAGCCCAAGTCATTCACAGTTAAAACAATCAGATTTCAGTCCAGGGTTAATCCAATAAAAAAGTCCAGTATCAAAAACAGTTCAGTAACAGACTTACATCAAATCCAAGACTAACGATGATCAGCAACAGTCAATAAGGAAATGCAGGAATGGCAACACTCTCAGCAACAAGAGACAGAACAACCCAGGTTTCTGGCTCCATCTTATGGCCGTTTGAGGAACCACACCCAATTACAATTTTAGCATTTCCTTAAAGAGACAGTATTAAAATGTCTATCCTGGTTTATATATTTTCTAACTCAACTGTTAGGTGACTTACATTCCTAACATTCTCCCCTTTGGGTAGAACAAAATATATAACCTTACATTCTAATTCCATAATCCTCACAGCAAGCCTTATGCTTTACTGAGCCTTGGGCTTTTGTAAAATGATCTGCGATGTTATTTTCTGATATACAGTATTCCAGCTTAATCATCTTACTTTGCACACATTGTCTCACATTTAAATATCTTAAATCTGTGTGTTTTGAACTTGTTTTAACAGCAAGATTTGAAGCCATCTGTATTGCTGATTGGTTATCTTCATAAACAACAATAGAATCTGTTACATCAATTCCCATATCAATTAATAGTTGCTTATAACAAATTAAATCTGTACATAATAAAGACAAACATGAGAATTCAGCCTCCATTGTTGACAAACTTAAATGTTTCTGTCGAATAGACCTCCATCCAATCAACATCTTTCTCAATAATACTTACAGTACCCGATGTAGATTTACGTGTATTTATTTCTGCAGTAAAACTTGCATCGGCATATGCAGTTAGACTTAGTTCATTCTTAGGCTCCAAATACAATGCATAATGCATTGTTTGTTTCAGATATCTTAACACACGCTTAGCAGCTTGCCAGTGCCTTTCATTTGGCTCAGCATTAAATCTGGCTAATTGGTTAACACTGTATGCTATATCTGGCCTTGACCAATTACTGAGATAAGGTAAACTACCAATCAAGGACTGATAAATGTTCTTATCAAAAACAGGACTTTGAACACTATGGCTAAACTCCTGGCTCATTGGTGTTTTAGCCGGTTTACAAAGTTCCATTTTAAAACTTTTTAGTAATTGGTTAATTTTATCTGCCTGTGAGATTTTGTATCCTCCCCTAGTTCTATCTATCTTTAAACCAAGATATTGTTTGATTTCTCGTAACTGTTTTATCTTAAATTTCCTCTCTAACAGTGAGATTATTTTAGTAGCTTCTTGTTCAGCTTTGGT